AAGAAATCAACTTGTTTTGGAAGGCCACGATAAACAATTTTTATTAACTCGTTTAAGTGTTTTTTTAAAGCAACAGCATAATTCGCACGAACAAAATTTAAAACCGGATGAATGTAAAACATAATTTAAAATATAATTACACACATAAAATATTCTATATGATTTTAGATAAAGTAAAAGTTTTTAATATATATAATAATTCTGTATATGAAACATTATGTTCAACATTTCAAGATATTAATAAAATTTACTTTAAAATCAAAACAGTGTACAATTTCAATTCTTTTATTTTGTTGGTATTCTTAATCACTAAAATATATGCATTGTGGATAGCATATTCAAGAAGTCAACTGTTTCAACTTAAGCAAAACCTACTTGGTACTATGGTATCGTTGCTGACCATTCATCGAAGTTATGCAATGAGACTTAGTCAATCCTATAACAACTTTTGTCAAGGTTATGGTTCTGCAGAGACGAAAGAAACTAAGTTTCACCTTATATGTCAGTGTCTTTTTTCGACCAGTAGCTTAAGTTAGGTTATACCGGCGATAGCAGGGAATCTACTTAGGCCTACATGCCCATTGTGTTAACATATAATTAAATTATTAACCAGTAAAAGTTTGGTTAACTTTTACTTAAACGCCTGTTACAACTTTGTCCATGTGCTTATGTTCTGGTTCTTTTGGTCTGACGTAGGAATATTATGATGTTGCAGCCTTTACTGCTACTCGTACTGAAAACGAATCTGCAAATTTGGGCCTTAGCAGTGAATGAGGGCAAAACAAAATATATATGTCGAATACTGTTAGAAATGTGATTTATTCGAACGTCGCACTGGTAGCTTGCGCTTATATTTGCGAATATGTCAAGAAGATTATATACCTTGGCTCTGCCGTAACAAACAACGATTTCAGCTTGTATATCAGACAAACAATCATCATTGCCAATAGAAGCTCATATGGCGTAGTAGGCAATTGGGATACAGAACTCTCTCTTTCGACAGACAAAACTTATGCTCTATCGCTCATGCTATCAATACTACTGTATGCCGCAGAAGAATCTGCGTTATCACATAATGATGAAACTGCCCTGGTAGTTTTCGAGAGAAAAGTTCTTCGTAAGATCTTTGAGTCTCTACGAGTTAACGACGACTACCGCATCGAAATGAACCACAATCTTTATGAAGACATTAATATAATTCTGCGAATTAACATCTAGCTGATAAGTTTATATATTCTATTAATCATCCAAAGTAAAAGATCTGTCCATAAAGTTTCTTTAGTTAAACCCGTTTTGTTTTAAAGCATGGGGTGCGTTTTGATAAGTTTTCGTCATTCAAGCCGATTTCTGAAAGTATTTTCTTGTTCCTATTTTTTATCTTCGCTTCGCTATCTGAAAGAAGTTCATCTCAATAGCTTCGATTCTGCTGAAATCCATTTTTCCAATAGATCTTCATTAAGCTCCATATAACAAAATACTTCTATGACTATTTGGTACACTTACATTCTCGTTCCTGATTTTTTTCTGGTTTGTCTAAGATTGTAAACATGGATGAAATGTGTACTGATATTAAAGAATGTTTGTTTTTCGCACTCGGTTCAAAACTCGGTGTATTTTACCGCTCTTTTGAAATATTATGCCCAAGTAACTAAATAATTTGTCATGTTTTAAGTTTAGTTATGTCAATATTAATTTCATCATTTTTCACTATTTGGTTTTCTATACATTGAACATTATTTATTTATTATTAAAATTTTGTGAAGATATGTACATAAAATAATTTGATTATTCATATATTTCATTTGGAATGCTTAGAGCTTTGTACTGATAAACGAATTTGTTCTGCTAGCCATTGAATTCCTTCTTCAAGCCCTACCCCTGAAATTGCTTCACTTGAACTAATGTACCATGGATTATTATTAATCTCATTTAAACCCAACACTGAAATAACCGTTAATAGTTTAATATTTTTTACTTCATAATATAGAAATCGGTAGTACCAGTCGCAATTTTGGAACTTGACATTGCATCTTCAGAGTTTTGTTTATTAGCAAATAATAGTATTGGAATTTTTCGATTTTCCAAGTGTGGGTGATTTAAAAATAAATTTATTTCATCTCTTATAACAACTAGAAATGAAACATATATTTAATTTTAATATTGTAACTTTATAATATATTCATACTCATCCTCATTTTATCACTGGAGTCTATCACGTATACAATACCCTGACAATTTTTAAAATGATGTTCCCATAAATTCCTATGTCTCCTTGCCCCAGATGTATCAATGATTGTGAAATGTACTCCTTGATCTATTAAGATTTTATTATACTTATTTAAATTTTAAAGACAACTTGTAGACTAGACGTATGCCTAGAGATAGATATTCAGTTTTTAGATTGTACTCGTACTCGTACTTACTCTGAAACTGTTCAATTGTGAAACCTACTGTTGGAACTGTTATAGTAGTTTGCTCGTTTAAACTCTTAAAATGATTTATAATAGTTGATTTTCCTCCACCATTAAGGCCTATAACTAATATTGTCATTTTTTCCTTCTTTATCTTTAAAATATTTGCTAATTTATCGAACATACTTATATGCTTTTAGTAACTAAAATATATTTTGGTTACTTTACAACAAATATTAGTTGATACAATTTAAAAAACTTACATTCGAATTTAGTTACGTAAATAGAAAATAAAATAGTAATTTCTACTACAAAAACTACAAGTTTAGATATATATGCCAATAATGAATCAAATATTTTCTTTATGCATATTGATTTTATGGGTTTGAAAGTTGCTATGCAACAAACAAAATATATAACAAACCTTAAGTTTATAATTTTGTGGTTACCATACTTGCTTTAATTGAAGCATTATATCAAAGAAGATTTTCTATAACATATATTATATCAAAGAAGAAGATATTCTCTGTATTATATATTTATAATGAATAAAAAAATAAATAACTATCAAGTAACATTCAATATACATAATGTAATACGACTGTCCGGCATGTAATGAATAACTAAAAACTTTATAAATTAAGTACTAGACGTAAAAAAAAAGTTATTCAAGTAAGATTCAATATATATACAATATAAGACTGTCTGAAATGTAATGAATACTTTAGTAACGTTTGCGAAAGTTAATATACTAATATTTGCCTGTCATAACCAGCCTACGAAAATGAAAAACCCGTGTCATAGTCCATAATAAGATGATCCGGGATGTAATGAATACTTTAATAATGTTTGCGAAAGTTAATATACAAACACTTGCCTATCATAACTAGCTTACGAAAATGAAAATCCCGCGTCATAGTCCATATTGTTAATGAGACATTATAGGCTTTCATGAATAAAATCGAATCACAAATCATTAGGGGACCATTTGTTAGTTTAGGGTATGCCAGCGATCCCAAGGGGATTCACATAGACCTATAGGCCCATTCTGCTACCGTATTATTAAAAATCCAAGGGTTAGAACCATCTAGAAACTTTGGCAAAGCTTATAGGGAACTATAATTGACTCCAGTTATTATGTAGCATAAATTAGATAAATTTTTGAATTGATTTGCAAATTTTAAAATGGGGAAATGTTTTTAAATTAAAAATACAGATATTAAGTTGTACGTCAGTCAATCTCAGGTTGAAATTCTTGAATGTTCCGATAAATCACAAATCTAATTTGCTTTTACAATAAATCAAAATGCTTAAAAATGTATTCTTCAAGCAACACATGAGATCAGTGTCCATGCGTATTTTACCTTTCTTGTGAACGATGAAACTCCGAAAGAATTTCTAAAGAACACTTCGTTGACGATGACAACTGGCTTCATAACTTAGATCTAGATGCCCTAAACTGTAGTGTTGGGTTCTTCTCTTTTTGCAATTTAACGACACTTAAACAGTTGGTAATTAAATTGTCAACTAACGTAACTTTTTTACTATGTTATATGTTTCGTAAATTATCACATATTAATTTAGTAAAAATAGGGTTTCTAACCATGAGTATTATTTTTGTTGTGTCTATTTTTAAGTTTTATTTAAAAGACTCAAAGACTATCTATCAGTCTCCGATGCATCATATAAAAAAGAAACAGTTTTGTTAAAAAATACAATAAAATAGATTTATCGACTGTAGAGCCAGTATTTGAAATCATTGTCCCATGACATTACCCATATTGTGGATAAGTCCACAATAACTCCAATCTTTGAAGTAAGATCTGATGTGTTAACTGTTCGTTACAAGCAGCCTTTAATTGTGAAAAGTTTTGAAATCTTCCAGCTCCAAGATGTAGTTTCCATCATATTTTTTTATGTTTTAAAATTATTTATTTAAAAAAACAAAATTTGACTTAGTTTCTTAAATTGTGTTAGTTGTATTTCAGTTTAAAACTCTAAAATTCTTAAAACAAATGAAACAAACTAATATGTGTGCTTGCGCACAATAGATCTTTAAGGTCGGTTTGCATTCATAGCCTATTATATTATAAAACTCTCAACCCGACTAGCGAAGCAGTGTAGCATTTTCACGCAAATGTTTGTACTATCTGTTTTGGGATTATATGTTTGGCAGGAATAGTTATATTGAAAATGGCAGCTTATGAGCCATTATGTCTCTAGATATCTGACCATGTATTAGTTAACCTGAAATGACTTTCTACGAGTTGTAAGCGTAGTACATGTAGGCAATTATTACTATCTATAACTGTTGCCTCTCTATGTATTATTGTATACTGACAATTATAGCAAAAAGTAATAAAATATAATTTGTCGATCTAACGTTATACAACCCATCTTGAATTCGATACTGATACATGTTTTTATGAAACTGCTAATAAAATAACTTTGATAAACGTCCAATAGCATTTTGTATAGCAAAATAATTTTGATTTTCTGTCATACGTTAAATTAAAAAATATTTATATTTATTATATTGTATTATTATTCGACTATTTTACAAATTTAGTTATGTAATAAATTAATAGTAAAAAATAGTTAAGTTATAATAATATTAGTATTATGAAGTACAAAACATTAATATTGACGAATATGTTTTACACATGTCCATGCAGAGAAGTGGTATTAGAGTACACATGATTATTAACAGAATTATTTGAGTCTTCAATTATTTTGAGTGGTTTATCGATAATTATACTTCCCAAAGAGTCGGCATTGCTAATGGAACTTGAATTCGATTGAATCAATTCCATCGATTTTGATATTACCCCATCCCTGCTCGTGCAACTATTTTCATCAAGTATTTGAGAAATGCAGGGGTCAGAAGCTTTTGAAGTATTTTGGTATGTTTCGGTTGACATAACTTCATATCCGTCTTCATTTTTACCTGTTGATGAGATAACAGTAGGTGGTTCCTGTATATCGATTTTCGAAGAATGTAAATTACTTTGATTGGGATTGTGTAACACAAACAAATTTTGTTGCGATTGTTGTGGAGGAAATAATTTTGTGTACCTTTGACGAATTGAATCAACAACATCGAGTAAATTTTTGGCGTTCATTGCTAAAATATGTGCTGCTGACAACATACTTCTATATCACGTAAAAAAAATATATTTTATTATAAATATAATTTTATTAAAATATATCTACTTACTTTCTGTATTCATTATCTAAAGTTGTGTCACTATATTGTTGAGCAAGCCGCATTGCAGCAACTAGCTCATGCATGTCTTTTGAAAGTACTTTATGTGCCATTTCCACTTCTCTGTAAATATATGATTTTTGTTTTTTACTGAACTTAAAAAATTGTTAAATTTTATTACCTGTGTGCTTCAGCGGGGAACACATATGATAATTTGTCAACAGATTTAAGTAGATTTCTCAATTCGAAACCCACAGTTTTCACTAAGTCTAAATAGCTTTGAGCATTGGATTTTTCTACACCTTGCGATAACATCATAATTGCTTTCACTACGCTCGTAGTTGCGACATAAACTTCATCATTGTTCCGGTCTATATGCCGTCCAGCTTTATCACTTGTATCACTATTTGACATTTGATTATTACCGTCTAACAATATTCAAAGTGAAAAAAAGTTAAAACCTTTTAAATATATGTGAGCTCGTATATACCCCACCTTTTTTCTTTTTAAATTGAATACAATCGGGTAGACTTGACGGACCAGACGCTAAAGAATCATTATCAGAAGAATTTAAAATATTCAAACTGAAACGTTTCTCCTAGAAAGAAATGAATATGTCAAGCGATGCAATTTTATAAAAATAAAGAAAAAAAACAGTTTATTACATATAGATAATATATATATATCGTATATATACGATATATATAGATATATGATATATACAGATATATGATATATACAGATATATGATATATATATATGATATATTATATATATATGATATATATATATATATGATATATATATATATATAATATATATAGATATGTGATATAAAATATGAATGATCTACATATACTAGATTCTCGGAAGCTGCAGAACAGAGACTAAAAATATGACTGACGAACTGGTTCAAAAAGGCTCTCATCAACATTTATACAAAGATATAAACATATAAAATAATTGGGAATGTTTTTTAATAGAAAAAATTAGACATGCCAGCTATTGTGAAAGAACTGGAGAAAAATGTGAAAGGCACATCACCACAACTTTAGCTTTATCGAAAAATAGAACTCAGGTTAAAAAAATTTTGGTGCACGTGATGTCTCTATAGCTTTTGGAAATGATCTAATATCGTAGACGCAAAGCCATCGGTAATAAATAATCTTAATACACAGATTTGTACGGTAAGTTAATATTTTTCCCACAACCATACAAAATACACTCGCCAAGTTTCTTAGGAACCACAGAGATTAAACGATGTCTGTGGTATGTGTGATGTTATGGTCACATTATTGTATGTATGTATATAAGTTTTTTGAATTATAATATATTACCATATTTTCTGCGCCTTTGATTGATCCGGTCCATTTAGAATCCTCAATTCTCTTTTTATATGCATGTTGATTATAAAAAGATATATTTTCGGATGCTCTCTATATTAAATGGGAAAAAATGTTTTAGTTTTAACTAAAAAACAAAGTAGAAATAAAAAAGAAATCTTAAAACTTAAAAATAATATTCATAATTAAGGTGAATGGTGATAATTTAAAGGCTGTACAAATAAAAGATTAACGTACCGGAGCCACTCGTCTCTTTAGACGACCACTTTCTGCTCCCAACTTGGTTATGAGAAGAGCAAAAATTTTAACAAAAAAAAACAAAAAACAAAAATTGAAGATAATTTTTTCGAAGATTTGCTTTCTTAACAAAATTTTTCTATTTGTACAGCTCCTTTACATTTACATTAAATATATCTAAAAAAACAAAAAAAGAAATACAAAATGCAAACGTAAAATCTACAAATAAAAAACTGCTAATTGTGATTGACTTGTTCAATCAGTTCATCATATCAACTACTTTTAAATACTTTGAACAAAACGTACACTTTCGAACTTAAAGAAATAAAAATGAACTGAAAAAGCTAGAATTCAAAGGGCCTTTTGTTCAAACCTGAGTGTCGTTATGTTGAAATGTTGCCACTGTTGGTTGATGTTGAGGATCAGATACTACCTCATTAAAAGGGTAATTATTATAATTTTGTATTTCATTAATTGGATGACTTCCCGTTGTGCATGGCGCCATTGGTGTGTATGTTGTGTTCTTTGAAAAATTTTCGCAATTCAAATTTGGTATTGGCGACTCTTGAACAACTGCTGTACAGACTCCTTTATTAATAGCAGGGTCTGGTAAATTTCTTCCAAAATCATAGATATCTTCTCTTAAAGGTTCTTCTTCTAATTTCAATTGATTGCGGCGCATATTATAAAAAGTTTTTCTTTCGTAATTACCTGGTTGCATCATAAATCTCATAACACTATTGTGTGTAATTGAACGTTCTAAGCTACTACTGCGCTTTACACGATTTCTCATCATTTCATAAGAATCCGATAATTTTTGATTACGTTCGAGGCTACCACCTTTTTGTTGCATGAAATTCATTGCCTTTACTATATGTGATTCTTGGTTTCTTTCTAAACTACCACAAATTG